TTTCATTTTTCCAATTATAATGGAAAAAGCGTGATGCTGTTTTAATGTAGAGGATACAAAAAATCAGGAAGATTGCCTTATATCATCTGGAATTCAATGAAATTAATATTGTATGTGTATGCTCTATGTTTCACTCAAAAGGGGTTTTGAATTGCATGTCTTGTGGTTGTGCCATTCATATGCTGTCGCCCCTTATGGAGCGTGTTTATATATTCTTATAACAAAATTTTGGTTCAGGGAAGTGGTTGGAAAGTCGTTGCAAGTTTTGAAGGCACTTTCCCTAACCGTATCAAGCAGCTTCCATTGGATAGATATTTTGACTTGAATAATGTTAAAAGGGTGGGTTTCTAATTTTTTCTGCCTTGAATTTTATGAACAAATAAAAAATTTAGACAGGAGTTTGACAGATTGATTTTCTAATTGTTACAGATCGTGTTGGAGGCAGATGGTTATCAACCTTATCTTATATCACCGGAGAAAGGGTTGAGATCGTTAATAAAGGTTGTTCTTGAGTTGGCCAAAGACCCAGCTAAACTATGCGTTGATGAGGTGTGTTCATGTTAGTGTTTATAGTTTATCTGGTGTTGTCCTCCTCTAGTTTGAGCTGCGTAGGATTGAAATTTTTAAATTTACTATATTGTGGAACATTGGCCATGGCTTGTTACACATGGTCTGTTCAACATATTTCACTATGATATTTTAATTTTCCTGATCTAGAATTTTTGGAGTACTACTCAATCCGACTCAATCTTACTGTAAATACTGTCACGTTTCATATTTATTCTGAAGATTTTCATACGTGGTTGCCTTACCGTTTCATTTGTTGCTTAACTGATATGGTCTGAACTTTTGATTAGGTTCACCGAGTGCTTGTTGACATAGTTTCAGCTTCTGCGAATGCCACCCCTGGACTTGGGAGATATCCTCCTTTTAAGAGAGAGGTAATCCTGAATTTCACTGCTTATTAGCAATTTTTTTTTATCTCTATAATAGCATTTTCCGTTTCTTATATAATCATCAACCAGGTTGTAGCTATAGCAAGTGCCGCACTTGATGGGTTCAAGAATGAAGCTAAGAAGATGGTAGTTGCACTAGTTGATATGGAGCGTGCATTTGTACCACCTCAGCACTTCATCCGCCTCGTACAAAGAAGGTAACATGAGCTTGCCTTTCTTTGATTTTTCGGCTCTGTCATTTTGAGTGGCTTTATCATACTCAACCGTATTAATTTCTCTCTTTAAATGTTTGACGGTTTAAAATCAAATGGATCTACTTTTGTGGGTATCCTGCCTTTTTTTAATGTTTTCCTGTGAATTGAACATACTAAATGTTTCTGCACGCTTTCATTACAGTTACAAATTCGATCTCTTTTAATAGTAGCTGCAACATTTGTTGCCCAAGTCCAGATATTGTATTTTTTTTCTTTTATGATGCATATCTCACTATTGTTTCACTCTCTGGCCATGCGGTTTACTATCTTTATCAGAATGGAAAGGCAGCGTCGTGAGGACGAGCTTAAAGGCCGTTCCTCTAAAAAGGGACAAGATGCAGAGCAATCTCTCTTAAACAGGGTTTGCCTTTATCTCAGACGCAATCTGGATTCACTTGTTGAATATTACTTTCTTCTTTTTTATATGAAGGTACATATTGTAATAATCCTTGTTTCTCCTTGTAAATCAGGCTTCTAGTCCTCAGCCAGATGGTTCAACAACTGGTGGTAGCTTGAAATCATTGAGAGACAAATTTATTCCGC